TGCCCGTCGCCTCGGAAACTTTCCCGTCCCGGAAGCCGGTGGAAACTCCGGCTTCCTCCTCTGCCGGAAAAATGCGCGGTCCGCGTCCCACGGGGATTCCTCGGGAATTAAGCCCGAGCCCGACAAGGGAACTCCGAGAAAGCGTGCTCACGGCATCGAATCTTCATTTCTATGCCCCGTTAAAAATACACGGAAAAAAAAAAATAAAAATAAAAACAGACCCCAAAGTCGCGGCAAGATGATAATAACCTAACGCCTTAACCCTTTCGTTACCTTGGACGAGATATCTCGCGACCCAATACTGGCCGATCAACGCTTTTGACGAGATATCTCGCGCCCCGATACTGGCCGATCAACGCTTTTGACGAGATATCTCGCGATCCGGTAATAGCTGTATTTATTTCTTCCTTTTAGCTATACGAATAGAATTAGTTATAAAATATATTCATCTAGAATGTCAAAATATTGGTGCCAGAAAGCTAGATTATCGTCAAAAGCGTTAATGCGCTACTACCGGATCGCGAGATATCTCGTCAAAAGCGTTAATGCGCTACTACCGGATCGCGAGATATCTCGTCAAAAGCGTTGATCGGCCAGTATCGGGTCGCGAGATATCTCGTCAAAGGCGTTAATCGGCCAGTATTGGGTCGCGAGATATCTCGTCCAAGGTAACGAAAGGGTTAAAATCTTAGGTGTAGATCGACGCCTCGTCGAGAGAGACACCTATGCCGGCGCTAAAACCCCGACGCTGGTTTTCAGGCCGGCGACTCCGTCTTAGGCCGAGATAACTCGTACACCTCGGCTTGCGAAAGCCCCTCGAGGGAGCGAGAGGGCTAGAAAAGCGAGCCAGCCAGAGCCAGAGAGCGCGACTCGTGCCAAAATATGCGATAGCCCGCGAACGCCTCGCGCACGTGTCCACGGCGACGCGGCGACGCGGCGACGCGACGACGCAGCGTCGCCGCGTCGCGACCGCACCACGCGGCTGCACCTACGGACGCACCATCGATTTCGAGGCCGCGTCCAGACGGAATTTCTCCACGCGTCGGCCAATGGTCTGTCGTCGGGCGGAATTAATTATCCGAGAGGATTAATCGTCTTCGCGAGCCCCCGTCCGAAATTGGCTCGCAGCGAGAGGCGGGTTTTGTCTGAGCGCGCTCGGGCCTGGATGCCCGGAGCTATGATTAGAAGCCCGTTCGGTTATTGCGTTCGATTTTCTCCCCGGCCAAAACCGCGTCGAGAATCGCTCCCCCCCTGTAGGCCCTCGCGGGGGGTGGTCAAAAAAAAAAATTATATATGAAATTTCAACCGCTCCTTAAGCCACATCCGTGGTTACAACGCGAAAACTCATACATTCCATCTACGAAACTTCTTGGACAAAACGCGAAGAGGACATTCATAGAGAGAAGAAAAATGTTCGTGCGAGAAAAAAAAAAAATGAAATTTTACAGGGATTACTCCGATGCGCGGCGGTAGGTGCGGCGCCGCTCTATCCGCGATCGATCAGCTGATCGCGCCTTCCCCCCTCGTCCCGGGGTTCCTGACACCTGTCCGAAAATCTGCACTGCGGACACGCAAGAGAGAGAGAGAGCTCCGCTCTTCCGGGATCGTCGAAATGAGTCGGATCGAAACGCCTTCCCGAGGCCGATAGAGAATTATAGGACGCGATGCGGCGTGCTCAGGTGCGCCCAGGTGCACCCAGGTGTGTGCAGGTGCCCCAGGTACGAGTGACCGGGTCCAGGGGACGTTTGACGCGACGCCGTTCGGAATTTCATTTGCCTAATGCAAGAGGCGCGACCCTTCCATCGGTACATGGGAATCGCTGCGATATCCGCGTACATGACATGTGCGATGTGCATATGTGTACCTATATTATATATTTTATATAGATATGTGGTATCGGGAGTACCGGCCGACCGGAAGTCCGAAAAGGCCAATCGGAGCCGGACAGCGACTCGGAGTCGCCTTTGACTTCGCGCTTGACACGGTCGAGCGACAAAGTGCCATTCCGTAATTACACCTTTCCGGGGCCGGCCGAAACTCGGCGAGGCTCCCCCAATCTCGAATCGATCGCCGAGCCGAATCGGAGCCGTAGACCCAAATCCATTCCTAATTGCAGGTGGATTTTCGGACGCTCCTACGGCGAATCGCCCATCTCCGTCTACGTTCCCTATATGTTCCCTATATGTTCCCTATATGTTCCCTATATGTTCCCTATATGTTCCCTATACGTTCCCTATACGTTCATCGGCGGTATCTCGACTCTCGATTGAACCGACAAAGCTCCTTTAGAATTAAGTTACCCCTCTATGGGCCGAATTTTTATTTTAAATAAAAAAAAATCGGGGGAACGAAAAATCATGAATTAGGAACCTATATATATGCCCATAATTATGAAAGTGGTCTAAGTCATATATTTTTTGTTTCGAAATTACATTGAATTAATTTCGTTTGAAATAATATGGCGTGAAATAACTGATAAACTCATTTTTTTTTTTAATTTTGATTTAGACCACTTTCATAATTATGGGCACATATGCAAATGAACAAAAAATTTTTCATTTAAAATGTCACCTGAAAGTTACACGGGCCCATAGAGGGGTTAAGTTAAATCGCTTCGGACTGAACAACGCCTCCCAAAGTACCAGACATGACTCCGTCAATTGACGATTCCGTATGCAAATAAAAGGAAAAAAAAAAATAAGAAAAAATTACCTCCGTCTTTACTTTCGCCCCAATTCGGTAATTGCGCGACGAATGTCTGAAAATTCCGTACGAAAATGAAAGAAATAAAATTTCCCCTTTATTTTCCTGCCGCAACATTTATGCCACATAATGGGAGCCGTTCGTCCGGGATCCTGATCGGTCCTTGTCGACAAGGACTTGGATATCTCGATACTCCGTGCTCGGCTGACCAGGGAAATATAATATCATGGAAAGTAATCGAGAAAAAAAAAAAACTTGATCCGACTTGGTCTGCACTCGACCTAACGAGTCGCCCCGTGCGTGACAATTCCCAGTTAAGGTAAACGCGGTAGAGAGACAAAGGTCGGACTAACGAACCGAAAACGACGTTTCTCGTTTCCCCTCTCACCTGGCGTCCTCTTCCTCCTTTCTCCCGTGTTTACCTTCGAATACCGCGGCGATACGACCAACACGGCCAGCGATCAAAACCCACAAGTACGCGTAAGAGAGGGAGACCTTGGATCTCGCGGATCCCTTCGTTAACGAGCGAAAACATCGCTTTCACTTAAAAAAACGCCGTACCAGGCGATATTTGAAGAAAAAAAAAATGTCTCGTACAAAGTCAAGGTATCGAAATATCAAAGACCTTAAAATAAGCCATTAACTTTCACTCTAAACCGCTCTCAAATAAATAATAAACGAACGGAATCTAAGCTCGAGTTCCTTTACTTCGTTATAAATCCGCGAAAAATTCTCGATAGAGTTAAATCCAATCGAAGGTATATTAAAAAAAAAATAAAATAAAAATTCCAACGATCCCCAGGATGCGTGGGGATTTTTCCAAATTGGCAAAGTCGAGGTATTGAAATATCAAAGACCTTAAAATAAGTCATTTTCACTGTAAACCGCTCTCAAATAAATAATAAACGAACAGAATCTAAGTTCGAGTTCCTTTACTTCGTTTTAAATCCGCGGAAAATTCTCAATAGAGTTAAATCCCTTCGAAGGTATATTAAAAAAAAATAAAATAAAAATTCCAACGATCGCCAGGATGCGTGGGGATTTTCCCCCTCGGTAAGGACGTGCCGGATCATCGATCGACGGTGTCCGGTTCGAGGGTACATTAAAAAGCGCGAATAAAAATTCAAACGATCGCCAGGATGCGTCGTGATATTATCTCCGATCGGCGTTGTCCTGAAAACGCAGGAAAAAGTTGGGCCTACCTTCCTGGGCTCGGGGGCGTAGATCCCGGGTAGCGGCGCCAGCAGGTGGATTCCAGGATTGGGGATGCCCGAGGCGGGAAGTCCAGGGGCGATGGGCAGGGGCACCAGCTTGAGGCCCCAGGGCAGATACCAGGGCGCCGTGTGCTGCATCTTCGAGGGCGCCGGGGGAGGGGGTTCCTCTAGATTCCGGGGTTACGGGGGCACGTATTGCCGAGTCCCATCCGCGGGAGCGAGCGGCGCGCGTCCGCCTACGTGTTTACCGGAGCGGACGCGGGCCCCGACTGAGACCGAGGGATGTCAACGCGTCACGGCATGTCCGCGGTCTCTCGGGGGGTGCGCGCGCGGCGGCACGTGGGGCGCGATCGCGCGTCTCTCTCGCTCGGCCGGCGCGGCCGATCGTCCGTCTCTCTATCCTATGGGAATGCCTAGGCGCGTCACGTGACACCGCGACCCGGCCCACTGGCCGGGGTAGCCGCCCCACTCGCCTTCAGTCGTCGCTCGACCGCCGGTCGGAGGAGTCGGGTCCGCTCGACCTTCCCGCTATGAGCGCCTCGCGACGACTGACCGCCGGCCGGGCGAGCACATGGCAGCGAGTGGAAGCTCGCGGCCGCCACGCGCGCCCTTGAATGGGAAAATACAAAATGGCGGCGGTGGCGACACGACTCACGCTTCGACTGCGCGCAGCTAGTGTAATCGATCGATCCGGATCGACGATATGGAATCGACGATGGGGATCGAATTACGGGCGCAAACGCGATTAGATATCTCGACTCGATTCGGAAACGCGAACTCCGAGCGGAGGTTATAACCAATTCCCAGAGAATACGCGAGAGAGGTTAGGAATTCACTCAATTGAGAAGTCAAGTGGAATCGATCGTCGAGGAACGAGTGTTTGAGTTTAAATCTCGTTTAACGAGGTTAGGTAACTCCTCGGAGCCTCACCTCTGTGGATATCTGTCCGATCGACCTTCTCGATAGATCTCTCGGGTTTTCTATGGCTTGAAATTAATAATTCTCTCACGAGTGGTTATCCGGTTGCCGGGTTCTGTGTGGGGGTGTTCGAGTACGAAGAATCATCGAATAACGGCGTTAGCCTTTCTCGTCCGCAACACCGATTGTATTATAGAAATCAGCATCGTCTTTTAGCGTCTCGTAACATTTAAGTGATGTGCGACAAGTTATGCAAAATCTCTTATTAACCGTACAAAGGTAAACGAATTAAGCGATCGTTAATTGGGCCTGCATCGCCCTTAGTAAGCAATGACGTCTCTACATCATGTCTCCGTCACTCGGTGATCGAACGTCGTCGATCTTTAGGATCATCTTGACGAGCTGGGTGGCAAGCAGAATCTGCTGGATCTTGCTCTTCAGTGACTCGATGACGTTTTGCACCTTCATATCTGGAATTATTAAAATCACGAGGGAATTTAGGGAGAATTCCGGTGGTGTAGGTATTTTTTTTAGGTTATTGGAAAATGATATTCTACGATTGAAGATTATAGGGGATGCAGGGCGTCGAATGCAAGGTAATTACCTGATGTGCCTCGGTTCATGCAGTCTATGCCCAGGGCGGGATTGTTCTCGGTTAATTGTCGAGCCTTGGCTTCGGCTAAACTATCGACAGAGGAAAGACCAGCATTCTCCGCCAAAGCCATTGGAATTGCTTCCAATGCGTCGGAGAAAGCCCGGAATGCATACTGCTCCAGTGTGCTGACTTTGTCCGCGTGTGCAGCACATGCCAGAGCGCATGAGATTTCGGATGCACCACCTCCGTAGACGATCCTTTCATCGGTGACCAGGTTCCTCACGGCGCACAGAGCATCGTGCAAGGATCGCTTTGCCTCCTCGATTATCTAAAAATGACAAGGAATGTGTAAATCAATTTGCTACTCATTCAATTAATGATTCATTAAAAATGAAGAGAGTGTCGTATCGCAGTTCAGTACGATCAACTCAAAATAAGTCGATCGATGAGTAGTCCTGTGATAACGATGCTCTTGCAAGGTGTCTGGTCAGCAAGTGTATGGATTTTGACCACCGCTGAAATTCTCCTTGCTAGACGATGTAACTGGATAAAGACAGATTACTTACCATTTTGTTACCACCGCGAATAAAGATGGTCACTGCACGGGCGTTCTTGCATTCCTCGATGACCAGCATTCGATCCTTCGTTGTGCCGAAGGTCAGTTCTTTCACAAGACCTGCATAACCCAGTTTGTCCGGTGTCAGTTCCTCAAATCGTGGCACGATGCGACCTCCGGTTGCGATGGCGATCAACTGGACAAGAAAGAGTTATGGGCTGTAAATGTCTAAACGAAGGAAGTCATGAAATGGTTGGTTGAAAAAAAAATGCCCTCAGCTCTCATAATCATTAATCATTGGAGCCACTGCGAAAGACAGGTCCTAGAGTTGACAAACCTCTTTGCCAATGCATCTTTACAAAAGACAACCGAGATTGTCTGAGGTTCGGAATAACACGGTTCGTTCAAGGTTAGCCAACTATGTTCTCTGTACTTTCACCCTCCTCTGGCAATTGGTGTCATCATTGGGCAATGAGTCATTCCGAAGTTAATACCTCAGTTTGTAATAACATAAAAGGCAGCAGGATATGAAGATAAAATATAGAAAAATAATTATATTTATCAGAACAGTCATTTTTGGTCATTTACCTCAATCTCTGGTCCACCGACCCATCTAACTGCAGGCAACTGCTGTTGTAGAAGCAAGTGATTCGCTTCGTCGTCGAATCCCCATTGGCAAATAGCGAGCGTAGCTCCGGCTTCTTTCACCTTCGTAACCATTTCAGTGAACTTTTCTCGCTCGTACTCGCGCAATGCTTTGTAGTCTTCTACCGATGTGACATCCAGCTTATGCTTGGTCTTTGGCTTGGGTGGTTCAAAGGGGCATGTCAGGATAGCCAATTTGACGTTCTCCAATCTCTATAAAGAAAAAAAATAATCACTAAAAATTGGTGAACATAACAAGAGAAAAACTGCACATTTTTTTCTAAGCCTTATGCTACAAACCTTAGGCATTTGTGGATGACTGAAGTCTTTATCGATTACCACACCCTTTACGAGTATAGTATCCTCTAATCGCCCTCCAACCTTTCCTTCAACTTTGATTAATTCAAAATTAACGTCTCGTTTTTCTAAGTCTGCAACTGCCATCACAGCGTTTACAGCTATCTCAGCCATTTGTCGATGGCATTTATTAATACTGGAAACATAATAGTAGTGTTCAATCGTGTCGTTCATAATTTTGTTTAACCTAAATGTTTAAAATTGATAATTACATTTTTGATCCCAGCGTTGTCAATGCTGTTTTAATTAGAGGTTCCAGATCCTTGGGATTAACTGGAAAGGCCTCAGCAATACTATTAAGATGTTTAACAGCACACTGAGCTGCTAGCTCGAAACCATCCGCTATTCTAATCGGATGAATTCCTTTATCCAATAATTGTTCGGCTTGCTCCATGAGTGCTCCAGCCAGTACCACAACTCCAGTAGTGCCGTCGCCGATCTCGTCATCTTGAGATTGAGACAGCTGCACCATAAGCTTTGCAATTTCGTGATCAACATCCATGTTCTTCAAAATGGTTGCTCCATCGTTGGTGACGGTGACATCTCCGTCGGAGCTAACCATCAGCTTGTCCAGCCCCTTTGGCCCCAACGAAGTTCTCAAGATATTGGCGATGCTCCGTGCCGCCAAAATATGAGACTGTGAGTAAGAAACCGAAATTTAATATTTAACACACACAGTGTACAATCACAGATGTAAAACAATAATCAATGCTAAATACTAAGAAATCAAGATAAATATTAAATCGACATCATATTGAATTAATTTTCCTCCTCCAGTGTTGTATGTCTAAAACCTGAAACGTCCGATACCTTCCATGTCCTTATATGGGCAGAACAGAAGTGAAACCACAAAAAAATACTTATTGTAGGATGTAACTCAATTTAACTATAACTTCGTTGTAATATTTTAAGTGTAATATTTAATTATTGAATGAATAATAAGGCAATGATAGAAATAGACATAAAATGGGAACAAATGCTGGAAAAACACCGCCATTGCTGCTTTCGACGTGCGAGGAGAAACCGTCATTTCGGTTCGTAAATTCAATCTCCGAACGACGACGCAATTCAATGTGCGAGACATTGCGATTAATCTTTCCCACCGAAGAAATACGAAAGCAATTACTTAATTTAAAGAGTCCTCACCTTGATGGCATCATTGCCGGTAAGCCGCTTTTGCTTCTCTTGGTCCCGCAAGATGATAAATGGACGACCATACTCGTCGAACGCGATGGATCCAGGAATCGCCGTCATCTTGGAATCGATCTCTCCCGAATTTACGAACTTCTAGTCGTTACGCTTCTCGACGTGGAATCCTCTCAGTCGGCTCCACACAATTGTTCCATTACAGAACAAACGACAAACGTAAAACTCTAGAGCATGCTCGAACAGGAATGAACAGGAAGTCGGGAGAAATGAAGGGGCAGGAAGACATGAACGACTAATCGAAAGGGACGAGATGACTCTCGAGGCGACTCGCGCGCCGAGCTACTCTGCTGCTCTCGCGCGGAAAAATTGAGAACTACATCCCTTTCAATATCTCCACATCAAGGGAAAAATTTCTATAAACTACACAAAATAGGAATTTAGCTGAATATGTTCCAGTCATATTTAATACATATTACAGAATACGTTGTATTGAGTAACACTGACTTTATTTAAATAGCGGTAAAGTTTGTTACAGTTCATCGTAGTGTCGACCCCAGTCGAAGATGGCGACACATGCCTAATTCTCACTATTTTATCGACTGACTTTTATGTCAGTGAGGAGAGTTCGCAGCACTTTATCGGCAACTTAGGGAAATTATTCTCGGTAGGTAAGGTGACTTTTTTAAATAGCCATTTTCTTATTTTGTTAGTCTGCTTCGATTTAGAGACGCTAGAGTGCAGTTCTTTCGGGAATTACTGTCGAACGAGGTTAGTAGATTTAGACGTTATCTGAAGAGCAATTGCAGTGGAATTAGCCGGGTCAGACAATTGTGGAACTTGGCGAGTAGAAAAATGTTGCAACGAAACAGACGAGTGTAACAATGTCGCACGGTAGATATAAGGATTTCTATTCCTCTATTACCGCGGAATTAACTATTTTCTAAGATATAAAGTGCAATTTGCAGATCACGTTTTAAGAATCCTTAACATCAAACAGATCTATCTCCGAAAAGCCGACTCCTTCATCCTTCATTCTTTGTCGCATCTCTTCAGCCTCTTTCAGTTCGTCCTCCACTACGACATCTTTGTCAATTCTTTTCAAATTCGGCAACATGCACAAAATAGCGATTCTAAATTGCGAGGGCACTTCTTCGTCTGCAGACATCACAGGATTTTCCTGCACGATAAGCTCTTCCAACCCTTTCAAGGAGCTTAATTTCCCGAACTCTGCCAACCTCAGGACGCCATTTTGTCTCAGATTGAGATAACTTAATTTCGCACACCTCGCATCGAAGCCGTCAAGATTTTCGAGTCTATTCCCTCGGAGATGTAGAATCTTCAGGTTGATTAAAGTTTCCAAGCCCTCCACCTTGCGGATCTCGTTTTCGGCAAGATAGAGGTGGACAAGACTCGGTAAAAAAATCCCATCAGTTGTGGACAACTTATTTCCACGAAGTTCCAGGACCTTTAAATTCTCAAGGATGTACGGATTCAATGTAACAGTTGCGATTCGGTTGAAGTTCAACTCCAAGCATTCGAGCAGTCGGTGATTTATTCCGCTGGTGTCTGTTATGAAATTCCGATTCAGGCATAATACCTGGAATTAATTGAGAAGAATAATTTTGTGACTTTAGAGAGGCGTAGTATTTTGGAATTACTTGCAGATACAACATGGGGTCCATGCTGGTGGATGTCAACTCGTTTCTATCTGCTTGCAGCATCAATAAATATGTCATGGATGTCAGGACCCTCAAAGCTTCGATGGTCAATTTATTGCCGGAGACGTTGACATAAATGACGTTCCTGAAATTCGGGATGACACTGACATCTGTCAGCCTGCGATTTGTCGCCTCCATGGCCAGATACGCGTAACCATAACCTCTGTCGCATTTTCCTAAGGTGTGAAGGCACTTTGAGGCGTCATCGTGGGTTAAAAATCTGTCTTTGTCTTCCAGAGACCAGAAGGACTGCAGGTCCGCACTCTCGCCCTGATATTCCCCAGGAGAAGGCTCCTCTTCACCTCCTAGGTACCCGAAATCATCGGAAGATTCCTCCGACATGGTCTTCGCGCTACTTTTTCCTCAAGATCGACCCGAAGTCAGCGTCGAGCACATAAAAGCTACCCTCGAAATTACAAGATGTAAAACCCCAGCTTCAAGTACTCAAGTAGAGTTAAATCATCCTCAGGAGTTATTACTCCATTTATTATACAATGCAGTTATTAACTTCTACAAGGCTCCTCTACAATGATATAAAATTCTTCAAGAGAGCAGTTTACTCAATTGCTTTACAAATCCTTCAGGATGGCAGAAGATTACCGAGCTTTTATGCACTTTGACTTCTTCTGCAAAAGACGGCTCTCCTTGGACCGTCCATACATGATTTCGTGAAGTTTCTTAAGAAGTATGAAGTTCTCTCGAATAATCTCGGCCTGTCTCTCCTTTTCCAGCTGCGCCTTTTTGGCATTGTTGAAGACATGCGGCCTCTCCTCCGGCGGGTCCACGTCGACCGTGGATGTTGCCAATTTCACCTAGTTAAAAAAAAAATATATTGATACTTTAAAAATCCAGATTGATTCCAAGGTATTTCATTAATTTAGAAAAATCGTCTCTGTACTATAAATAATTTCCAGTGGTTACAGACCCTCGCTCGGTGTTTCTCGTAAGCTCGATGTTGCCAGGGCGACCCGGGATCTTTCAGATTTTGTTTCTTGCCGTCGGGCATCTTCACACAGAAATTGCAGCTGCAACAACCCCGATTATTACCAATCTAGAGCGGTGGAATTAATCTGTGGAGTTATGCACCGTGTTTACTCGGTATAGGCAGAAAGCGTCCTTAGCAACCATCCTCATCTCCATAGCAACGGCGTCGTTATCGATCACTCTCCGATTTCCGCAATCAGCCTCTTACTCTGGACGCGAAAATGGATAAAACTAAGTACAAGGTAGATAAAAAAATGTCAACGAAGAGTATGAAGTACGAGAAGTCCTTTGTTCCTTCTCGCAAAAATTCGCAGGGGGTGAGGGTACATATATAAATCTGAGAGAGGCACGGCATGTAGATAGGACGCGACATATGTGCTCGTAGGTGAATAAGTAATGTACATTGTGCAGGACGTGTACACACCTCTTCCCCCAGAGCGGAAGGGAGGCTTTCTGATTGGTCGAGCCATGAACAAATGACATTCCACATGAGGGGCAACCCCTCGTGAATCGCACCCTTCGACAGTGGCAGCTTTGTCTCTTTTGTTGGAAAATAAAGGGAAAAGAGAGAAAAAAAAACAGAAAGAGGAAGAAGGACCGTCCTCGAAACGTTACGTGTATACACCTATCGAAGTCGAGTAGCTGCGAGATGAAAAAGTCGGAATTTCAAAATGTCGGCGTGGAAGTCTTTTCGAAATTTGTAACGGTCCTTCGGCCTGACCGGAAACCGGTATTGCCGAAAAATGGCGATATAATCGCATATCTTCCATCCCTTGCTATGAACGAAACGTCGAGAAAGAGGAAATTATAGTGATTTCGAGTTAGTACCGTTTCCATGATTTCTAAGAAAAGTTTCGCCTTCCTATTTCGGGGGTTTATTGTGAGGGACTGAATTTTGAGTGGGTCGTAAAATAAAGAATTTCGGGGCTCGGTTAATTTCCGGATGACGGAAACGACCTGGAACCTAAATTGTCGATCCTTGCGAGGGTAGTCAATAAAAGGGGGTTAATTGTTTAGGACAGTAAAAACCGTTGTAAAGTTCATTACGGACAGAAATGGGACGAGTTCGGGGCTTCGGAAGGATTATTGGTGGAAAACAGTTCAGGGATGTAGTGGACGCGCTAAGTAGGAATTTTGTAGAGAGTGCCAAGATGGCACCCGTTTTCGGCAGGAAGAAAGGAAAAAGATAAATGGGGATGCGCCGCTGGTAGATCCGGGCCAGCAGCAGGGGTCGTGATCTTAATCGGCTAGATCTTTAACAATGATCTTCTCAAATGGATGAGCCACTCGAGAGCCGATGAAGATCTCTTCCCCCGAGGGGATGCGCCGCGTTGTATCATCTCTGCAATGGAGGGTTGTCAAACAGACGCGACCCCTCCGGCAGGCATTTCGTACGAATACAGGGGATGACAACCAATCACTGAGCGCGAGAAAGCAGCTAAGTCCATTTTCCTCTTCCCCATTCGTTCCACCAAGCTAAAAAACTACATGACAAACTTCAACGTCAAAAATGATTTTTTCATAATCTAAAAATTTCATTTCATAATCTAAAAATGTGCTCACCATGAAATCGCTACCATCGAAAATCATCTCCATTTGTTTTACCACATATATCATAAAATTGTTCGTCGGCAAAAGTAGCGACATCGTCTAAAACGATCGCAGATCGCAACCACCCCTTCGTTTTGGAATTTCACCCTATGGCTACTAAGAGCGCCTGAAGGCGCTCGACGTTTGGTCCAATATTGCCTGCACGGTCAAAGGAATTTCGCCCGTATGCCAAAATGGCACCGTGGTCAAAGGATTAAATCGGACCCGGCCATTTTCCTGCTACATCAAAGAAGTCTAGAAAGTAAAAAGGTAACTACGAGGAAATAAGAAATAAAAAAATAGAGAGAGGGACCTCTTGGGCTATTTCAGCCGACATTTGCCGACATAACGGCGAGCCCGAAGGAAGCGACGATGGGCATGGTCGTGGTAAAGCCGAACGTTGGAACCTGGAGGGGGACCATGGGCGGTACCAGGGCGTGGCGACCAGGAAAGGATCGGGGATCCAGAGGACCTCTGCCGTTAGTCTCCACTGAGACGTCGTTCGGATCGGTGACACTCCTGATAGTCGATTCCAGAAGCAAGAGCCACATCGCTACGACCTGGGGGAGGATCGCGCTCCTAAAAGTCCAGAAGACGACATCGAGAGGTCTTCCTCGGGAGCAGTTAGGAGTCCTCCACCCTGAAGAGCCCCTTGGAAAGGGCTTCGTCGAGAAATCCTACCTGGTGGTCGGTGGAAATTTTTTCAAAGTTTGGGGAAATCTGGGAAAAAGGGAGAGGCTGACCCCTGGGGTCCAGGGCAAGGGTGCAGCAAAGTGCAGGAGGCAAGATGATGCACGCCATGAGCGACCACGCGGGGGGCGCCGGAAGTTTGGGGGTTGGTGTTCTTCCGTTTGATGGCATGGGTCTTTATGAACAACCCAGGCCGAGGTTGGTCTTCAAGATGCCGAGAGTCGTGCCCGATCAGAAGGCCAAATTCGAGAGCGACGAGCTCTTCAGGAGGCTCAGTCGAGAGAGCGAGGTAAGGGCCTTAAAAATATTATTTTTTCGTTAACACGTTATTTTAATTCCATCACCACCCTTACGATGCTGCAAAGGACTTTCAAAATTATTCGGGAATTCTGCCTTAAAAATATTATTTTTTCGTTAACACGTTGTTATTTTAATTCCATCACCACCCTTACGATGCTGCAATGGACTTTCAAAATTTTTCTTCAATTCTGCCTTAAAAATATTATTTTTTCGTTAACACGTTGTTATTTTAATTCCATCACCACCCTTACAATGCTGCAATGGACTTTCAAAATTATTCTTCAATTCTGCGAGTCGTTCTTGTGATTTGCGTTAGATATCTCTTATCAAGAGCCTCGAAACGGTCCGTCAATATTTTGAGTCGGATTCCCAGGTTAGAATTCCAAAAATTTTGCAGGCTATCAGGTGACCCTTTTTTTATTTATTCTCATCGATTTCTGGCCAGTCCGTAACGAGTTTGAATGAAATACACAATGTTTGAACAAATCGAATGAAAAGCGCTAATCGAAATCACGTTATCAGACGAATTGCGGATAATTGAAATTTATTAATGAAAATGGAATTTTCTCGGAGAAGTTGGAATTCCGTTGCAAAGTTCCCTGGAAATCTTCCCGACGGTAGATCTCGGCATGGTCGAACCTACTAAAATCGATGCGCATTTTTTTTAGAATTTTGAGATTGTTACTAGGATTTTTTTTTTTTATAAAAAATTGATCATACCTGTTCCAGGTGAAGTACACGGGATTTAGAGACCGGCCGATCGAGGAGCGTCAAGTTCGATTCCAAAATGCTTGTCGCGAGGGTCACACCGAAATTGCATTCGCAGCCACGGGGACCAATCTTCAGCTGGTTTTCGGACCAACTTCCGGCGACTACAGCGGAGACCCGAGGGAGTGCGACTTCGACAAGGAGCAAGGAAAGGTAGGAAATGAATTTCTAAATCAAGCCCCTGACCTCATCCCCGAAGATATAGAATTTCCTGCGCCTGCTCGAAACGCAGAAAATGATTTCGTATTACTACCCCATTACACGGGGGCGGACAAATTTTCCTCGGCCCTTCCGGTTTATCTCGAGTCCCGGCATTGACAAAAGTTCGGCACTTTTCCGACACAATGGCGCGTCGAAAGGAATGGCCTCGCTATTTTGGATGCCATGGCCTTTGGGGTGGTTCCACGGGGCGTCCCTGTAATTCCAATTTGCCGGCAAATTGCCCTCTCGGCGTTTCGGGAAGCCCGGGACACGGCCGCTTTTGTAAGGGAGAAACGTGCCGCCATTACGCCCCCGAGTCAACCCCATGGTCATTTCGAAGAGGGAATGAGAAATTGCCGTTCCTCTCGGAGCACGCCGGCGCCCTTGCGACGCCATTCCGATCGATATGCGCCCTATCGGCCGCCATTTTGGACGCGAGAATTTTCGCGACTTCCATATCCCTCATCCCTGAGTTCAAAACCCATTAAAACACCCCCTTGTCGATGAGAACACTCGAGAAAAGTAAGAAAATGAATCGCCATCGACGAGAATTAACGAAAAGGTAAAACGAGTAAAGTGGAAAGAAAGTGTCGAAGCAGGGGACGCCATGACACCTCGAGCTTCAACCCAGTCGACGTGGCGCATCAATTAAGGGCTTTTGCCGTCGTTGGGGCTTTAAAAGAAATACCAAGACCAAGAAAAATAAGAAAATGAACCATCATCGACGAGATTTAACGAAAAGGTAAAACGAGTAAAGTGGAAAGAAAGCGTCGAAGCAGGGGACGCCATGACACCTCGAGCTTCAACCCAGTCGACGTGGCGCATCAATTAAGGGCTTTCGCCGTCGTTGGGGCCTTAAAAGAAATACCAAGACCTCTAGCATCGGGCATTCGACGCCATAAATCCTTCAATCCTGCGGAATAAAAGAGGACCTCGAGCCGGGGAGTTTGAAAGGATCTGGAGGATCTAAACGCGTCGGAAACGACCAGGTCGTGCCCTGCTTCCGACCCGAGGGCTTTAATTCCGATCCTTAAATGCTCGACCTCTTGACACCACCGGGTCTGTCGTGAAGAATTCCGGCCTCAATTTCAGTCTGACATTTTGAAATAAATATAATAAATAGGGATTTTCCGATTTTTAATACTCTGTTGAAAATGGCCGCGGAAGAGATTCGAGATCGGCGAGGTCTCGGCGTCCTTAATTGAAATCTCCTGGGCCGACAAGCAGTGGGACCCCCGCGAAGCATGGTTTTTTGTTTTAAAGGACAATCGACGCACGTGCCATCCTTTGTCGGCCGCTTCCTGGAGCGAGCAATTATTCCTCGCGATCCATGCGCCAGATTACGCCTTCCTCCAGCATCCGTTTCGCTCTCCTACGTTCCTCGACCTCTGGTCCCGCCATAAGGAAAAAGGCCTTTTGTTTGCTCCTCTTTCCTGCGTCTTCCTGCAGGACTCGTGCCTCGCTAACGATCCTCCTCAAAGCCCGATTTAAATGAACGACGGTCTCGGTGACAGCTGTCGCGACGACAGGTGCAGGTTATCAAGAGATCACCATTTACCTGCTCATCAGCCGTGACTCCTCCTTGTCGGATTCGTTTTAATTAATTATCGCTATCACCCCACGTGATCTGGAAAATCAGGATCTCCGTTTTAACATCAGGCCCTTCTTTCAAGATTTTAGGGGGAGCTTGGATTTTAGCAGCATTTTCTTTTCCCCCTTTTCTGGAAATTAGGAACTGTATTTCAAATCGTCGATTATTAATTATAATTATCTTCCCACGTGTTTTAAAAATCCTAGTCAGATCCTCGAAGTAATTTCATCGTTTTGAAATCAGTCACTGGATTTCGAAAATTGTTTGAGAGAAATTTCTCTCTTCAGGGTCGTGGATAGGTTTGCAGCCTTTTTTTGGAAGTTAATTCCATTGTCGAGGGTCTCCTCAAGATGTCTCGAGCCTTGCCGTCCGAAAACGCTTCTAGTCGGTGGAAACTGATCTAATAGTAGGGAATATACCCCAGGTTTACTTAACTGATCCAATGTTGTGACACCAAACAGATTCTGGTAGCTCGTGCTGGTTGGTGCGAACTAATGGGATTCGAAATCGGGATGAGCCTCGTGTCTCCTCTTCGACACCTGTTCACGTCCCATGGGGTTCGTTTTGGAATCTTTTTTTTTCCCCGTGAGATTTGACACGCATCACCTGTTTAGAGCTTCGGGTACTTTGGTAAAATAGGTCTGCTTGAAGGGTCATTAAAAATAAATCCATGGTGAAGGATAATTACAATAAATAAATGAATTGGATACCTTCGGAGAGGATTGCGAGGAACTCGTTTCGACGGCCCCAGCTGACCGAGAGTCTGTTGTCCCTTGACTTTTGACAAATGCGTCTCATTGTCCAGAGCTGGACCGTTCGTAAAAAGGCTCGGCAGGAACGCCTCCGGAAAAACAAAAGGGCCGAATGCCCGTCATTTGTCGCCGAATGGAAATGAACCCTTTACCGGTCGCGAGACTTGGTCCCTCTACGCCGACTTTTCGGGACTCCCAATGGAAACGGACACTTTTTGCCCCATGCAAATGAGCGCCGAAAGGGTTAGACTAGTTTGTGACGTTACAGTTTTAATGTCGACACGCATTGTTAAGGGGATAATGGGTCACGCCCGTGTGCAGCCTTGCGCCGTCTTTCGCGCCTCGTGAGAACGCGCCAAGATTTGTCTCCCAAAAAATCGGCATTTTTTTTTGGACACATCCCCCATTAGAAAAAAAAATTCTATCTCGACGAGAAATGTCCCCGCGTCGGACTAAATTGTCCTAAATAATTTCGACCTCTCGAGAGGTCTGAGAATAATCGAGACCTCGATTAAACCTCACCTTCCTCGATGAAATTCACTCGCGGACATTGTTTCTTTTCTTTTTTCCCCTTCTTTTTACCATTTGCTAGGCCAGGCGGAAAATTAGATTTATTTTTTCGGCACTCCTCGGGTGACGAGAAAATTGCGCCGCGGCGAGACTCCCGACTTGTCGGCTTTCTTTTGGCCTGAATAAAATCGAGCGGCCGGGATAAAATCGAGACCCCCCGCGGACGGGTCGTCGATCAATGAGAATCGAAACGAACGTCCCGCCGTGTCGCATCATTGTTCGAGGTTTGCGAACAGTCGCCGAGCCAGCTGTAACGTAACGATTTCTCGCCTTTTACCTCGGCTGTTCTGCATTCCCTGAAAAGTGTCCGTAAAACGTGGAATTCCGATTTTCCTCTACCGCCCCATATTTCTTTTCATCACCCGCCATTTTTTTCCTCCGATGCATAAATTGCTGAGAATTAGTAAAATAAATGCAACGCGACGCGAAGCATATTTCCGCATATTTATTTTCGTCACCCGCCATTTTTTTCCTTCGATGCATAAATTGCAGAATTAGTGAAATAAATGCAACGCGACGCGAAGCATATTTCCGCATATTTCTTTTCATCACCCGCCATTTTTTTCCTTCGATGCATAAATTGCACAGAATTAGTGAAATAAATGCAACGCGAGGAGTCGATTTCCCGGGAAGGGTTTCGTCGGAAAGCGAAGTAACCCCTCGGGACCCAGGAAGAGCGGAAACGGGGCCATTTGCAGGAAATAAACTAGGCCTCTTAAGTAGCAGGCCGGGGATAATTGCAGGGTCGTTTCTCAGGATCGTCTTCGGGTACCTCCGAGAGCGCGACGGTCCTCTTTCTTGGGCCGCCCTTTACGAGGAACCTGACCGTTACTCTTGCCCCGAAGAAGTCGGCCCGAAGTCGTAGATAGTCCTTCCGGAAAGCGCATTGTCCGGGCGAGACCTCCTCGTAATTGGCTTCGTCCTTTGCCCAGGGAGAAGGCGGCTCCTCTAAAGTCGACACGAAGGTGCGGGGCTCCGGGTTTGCTTTCGAATCGGAGGAGAGCTCGCAAGAAAGTCCAGGGTCCGGTCGCAAGAAATTGAAACATTCGGAGCTCCTTGGAAACTATCCTGCGCCATGTTCTTTTTTTTTTTCTCTCTCCCCGTACCTTTCGAAGATACCTGACGTCGAGAGAGACGTTTCCCGACCACCTCCAGGATATATGCGAAGAAAATAACGCCCGTTAAGGTGAAGTGAAACCCCCTTCAAATCAATCGATTCGAATACAACACTTTTTTTTAAGGGTAAAAGACCAAACTGTCCGAAACTTTGACACGTCACTCCTGATCATCTAAGAATTGTCCTGACACATTCAAAACTTGGATTTTTCAAGAAAATTTTTTAACTCAGTCCAGACCAGAACCAAAATGGCGTCGAGCTCTGATATTTCGATCAATATACAATTATCGAAGGCTCTGATATGAGAAACTAAAGGGTCAGGACAATTTTACGACAATTTAGAACACTCTGGTAATCGATAAACTCGCATTTGAACGGGATAAAGGCAAAAAAAGTGTTGTATGCGCTTTTTTGCTAAAACGATGGTAATACGAGGTCTCGGAGTGAAAATTTAATTGACCTGGAAATCACAGATGGCGCAGGGGGTCCCTCCGCAGTCAATTAGGGCCCCAGAAAGCACGAATCCAGTGGATTTCTGGAGTTTTACTTCGATTTCTTTATAATTATTGTACGAAAACGACAGGTGGAATATGCCATTTGGTACAATACACAATATAAGTCGACCCAGCTATCGATATGAAAACGAACCTCGGCAACTTAGGCATTTAGAAAAATCTTCTTTATCGACGTCGATCAAGTTCCTCGAGGTGTTTCACTTCACCTTAAATCCCGACTATCGAGTCAATTTCCTCTTGGCTCGGTTACGTCTCTTTTCTCGCGTCTCTTGGAGACGCATGACGTTCCTCGACCACCTTCGGGATATCTGCATCGATATAACCGAGGAAAAGGACGCCCATTAACTCGCGACTCCACGGTCCAATCTCTCGAGGTCGGACGAGCCGGGGCCGTCGTGGAATTTTTATTTCCTACGAGCGATTACGCAGATTGGAAGGCACGGGCTTCTGTCGGCGATGGAGGGAGGAAATTGCACCTTGGAACCGCCGACCCGTCCCGAGGGATCCCCCAGGTCCTTTTTTCCCCCCTGCGTTTAGAAATTCAATTTCGAATGCGCCCATCTCTCTTTCCGGTGCGCTCCGATGCACCCTGGAGCCAAGAACGGAAATTCCGACATTTTGACCGAGTCTCGTAAGAATAATCCGCACTTTCCATATTTTCCCGGCACTTTACCACGCTTTTCCCGTGGGTCGATTACTTATTCCGTTCCTTGAAAGGAGATTTATATTTTTTTCTGTACATCTATCATGGTGTTTCATCTATATCGATTGTTTCCGTTTAAGGTGAAGTGAAACACCTCGAGGAACTTGATCAACGTCGATAAAGAAGATTTTTCTAAATGCCTACGTTGCTGACGTTGGTTTTTATTTTGACAGCTATATCGAATTATATTGGGTATTGTACCAAATGGCGTACTCCACCTGTCGTTTTCGTACAATAATTGTAAAGAAATCAAAGTAAAACTCCAGAAATCCTCTGGATTCGTGCTTTTTGGGGCCCTAATTCACTGCAGAGGGACCCCCTGCACCATCTGTGATTTCCAGGTCAATTAAATTTTCACTCCGAGACCTCGTATTTCCATCGTTTTAGCAAAGAAGCGCATACAACACTTTTTTTGCCTTTATCCCGTTCAAATGCGAGTTTATCGATTACCAGAGTGTTCTGAATTGTCGTAAAATTGTCCTGACCCTTTCGATTCTTATATCAGAGCTTTCGATAATTGTATATTGATCGAAATATGAGAGCTCGACGCCATTTTGCTTCTCGTATGGGCTGCGTTAAAAATTGTTTTGAAAAATCCAAATTTTGAATGTATCAGGACAACTCTTAGATGATCAGGAGTGATGTGTCAAAGTTTCGGACAGTTTGGTCTAATACCCTTAAAAAAAAGTGTTGTATTCGAATCGACTGATTTGAAGGATGTTTCACTTCACCTTAACCCTTTCAACGCTATGGACCTATTAGTGCGTCGGACGTTTGGTCCAATATTGCTTGTACGTCCTGATGAAATTCGCCCATACGTCGAAAGGGTTAAGGGTGAAATCTACCCCTTAGACTTAATTCCTACGTTTTGCGACGAGTAATTAAAAATTATCTACACGTGTTTTCTCTAATATTTTCAGATTCACCTGCGATCCCGCCTTATCATGAACGGCGTCTGCGTGATATGGCGAGGCTGGGTGGACGTCGAGCGTCTGGACGGCGTCGGCTGTCTGGAATTCGACGAGGAACGAGCCGGCCAGGAAGACGCGGTCCTTCGGGACCAGATCGACAGATACAATCAACGAATCCGCGAATTCGAGGAGAAGCAACGCGCCTTCAGGAGCGGGGCCTCGCAGCCTCCTCATCTGAACCACCACCATCACCACCACCATGGGCACCATGCCCACCACGTCGTGGGCACAGGGGCGACCGGGGTGGAAGCGCATTTGGCGCATCGACAGGACCCCGACATGGAAGTCAGACTTCGAGCTTACTAAAAGTAACATCCCGAAGGAACTCGGGATTTTCCTGGCAGGGCCCATCGATCCGCCAAAGGCCCCATAATTTCGAAATAAGTCACCCAAAACCACCATATCCTCGGGCGGAGTCGAAAAGCCCCGACTTTGGACCGTGCCACCGAGTCCAATTTTTTTTTCACATTGAAAAAAGAAAAAACCTGGTTTAACCCTCTCACGGGAGAATCGACGAAATTCCGCTTATTAACAACCGGGGGTGGTTTTAAAAATGTAATGCAATTTTTTGGGGGGAAATTTTTTTTTATCGAGGGAGGGATGGCATTTTCTTTTGCAGTTCTGTCTCGAGCGCTGTTCTGTCTCGAGTCCAATTTTTTTTTTCACATTGAAAAAAGAAAAAACCTGGTTTCATCCTCCCACGGGAGAATCGACGAAATTCCGCTTATTAACAACCGGGGGTGGTTTTAAAAATGTAATGCAATTTTTGGGGGGGAAATTTTTTTTTATCGAGAGAGGGACGGCATTTTCTTTTGCAGTTCTGTCTCGAGCGCTGTTCTGTCTCGAGTCCATTTTTTTTTCACATTGAAAAAAGAAAAAACCTGGGTTAACCCTCCCACGGGAGAATCGACGAAATTCCGCTTATTAACAACCGGGGCGTGGTTTTACAAATGTAATGCAATTTTTTGGGAGAAAATTTTTTTTTATCGAGGGAGGGACGGCATTTTCTTTTGCAGTTCTGTCTCGAGTCCATTTTTGTTTTTCACATTGAAAAAAGAAAAAACCTGGTTTAACCCTCCCACGGGAGAATCGACGAAATTCCGCTTATTAACAACTGAGGCGTGGTTTTAGAAATGTAATGCAATTTTTTTGGGGGAAATTTTTTTTTATGGACGGAGGGACGGCATTTTCCTTTGCAGTTCTGTCTCGAGCGCTCCTCGGGATTATGGGGGAATTTCCAGAGAAATGCCCCATGAAAAACCCACTGTTACCTGAAGAAGAGATTTAAATTGGCACCGGCTCGAGGAAATCTCGCGTCGACTGGACGCCTCCCGTGCAATGGTTACTAAATTATTTCCTATGATTACGTTTTATGGTTAAGCTTCCCCGTGTAGACGTAGCGGTGAGAGAAAGTCTTCCGAGGAATTTCCATCTATCTGGGAGGATGTACGGTGATTTCTCCACTTTCTCAGGGTGGACGGGATTTTATTGTTTATTCGACGCTTGACGACACCACTGTAGGAGAAGTGTTCATAAATAATTCGTAAATAGTGGGAGTAACTCCTGAAAAAAATCCGGGGATTTTCTCTCAGTATGATTTCTAACTAACCGTTGATCGTAGGTTTACTAATCCCGCTAATCGACCCCAAAGAGTCTTGAGTCTGGTTTATGGGGAAAAGGAATTGAATCTTCGAGGATCGTCAACTGCGTTTGCGTTACTTAATTAATGCACTATAACGTAATTCCCTTCCCTGTGTGAATCATAACCCGTTCCGAGTCGGAGTGAGTCAGAAGAGAGAGACGGAGTGCGCGGCGATGCGCGAGTCAGAGAGAGAGGGAGAGATCGAGAGAATGCGTTTACACGAGAGAACCGGGGAATGAAAGAGAGAATGAGAAGAATTAGAAGAATGACGGATACAAGTCCCGCCTGTTTGTTCTCTGAGTTCTTTGCGTCGTATTTTGTTGTATTGTACATACTTGTAAAGAGTTTATCGATTAAATCATCATTTCACGCTAATTAAAGAATAGCTCCCTCTTTCCTCATTTTCCTTTTTAGTCAAGGTGCAAGACAATATTTTCTAATTCACGCGTTAATCGTCATACTTTGTTATCATGCCATATCTGGTTTTGAAATATTTATTTAATGATTTCATGGTGGTGTGCAATTATTGTACCTTATTGCGGTGTCACGGCTCATTGTTTTAATTTTTATTTAATAATCTCATGGGGGGGGCATTTTCTCGGTGAAGGAAGTTTCTTCTTCCCGTGGGCAGATTTTATGGGGGTGATGACTTTTATGCAAAGAGGACGTTTACGTTCATACGTGACATGATAAGGATATGAAGGCGCACGTCGGGATTCCCTGACCTCGACATGAGTCAGAAGACTTCAATTAAAAATACGAGTCCTCTTTGTAGAAGTCCTCGGTGCCGAATTAAATGCCAAGGTGTGTCCATACGTAATTGGATGAATCACGGATCTCCATGAATTTAAAATCATTGCTGGATCCGGAATTATCCGAGAGATCGCCAGGATCGATGGCTCATCTCGATACCTGGGAAGCCTCGGGGGAATTCCAGATTTCCGGAGGAGTTTCGATCTCAAAGAGGGAAGAAAAATTTTCCATGGTCCTCCTTCGAGGGTAACCGATGTCCCCCATAAAGGAGCGTCCATTTCTCCGAGGACTTCCGTCCCAAAGAAATCAAAAGTCCACCCTGGGCGCCAAATAGGGTCGACGAAAGGAATTCAGATCCCATTAATCACGTCTCTCCTGCCCGGCAGGATATCCCGGGGACGGAATTCGAGAAGTCCTTACCAGCCTCCGAAAATAAGGACACGCTCGTCTCCTAGGAGAAAAGGACGACTTCTGGGAGTCTCGAAATAAGGGGAGGCTCCCCGATTTTCGAGAACAGCGGGGGTTGTTTTCATCGGCCTGTGTCGGCTGTTCGAGCATGAAAATCGGGGCGCATTAACATGCACCCCCTGCCAAATTTTCAGGACCCAGGGGAAGGACGAGCCCCCAACCGAGAGGATTGTTTCCGGACGCTGGGAAATTAATTCGACGCGCTAAAGGTCGTAGAATAAACATTCCTCTGGGTTATTGTACATTGTGACGCGGTGGAAATTTAGTTTACACGTAATTGGACCACCATTGGATATTCGTGGTAGAAAGGAACCTTCGAATCTCCGGACGATAATGGTATCTCGCCACAGGAAGTGGCCTCGCCCGGGTGTCGATAATGTCGCGCCTGAAACCCGTGAAACGTGAGAAAGGCGCGTCCGTTTCCAGTACTTCCTGGCGAAACCGTTCCTCCGGGTTCCAGGAAATCGACCACCCAGGTTCCTCTATCTTTTCTAGCCAAATCTCGGCCGGGAGCAATAAACGGCCATTGGTGATTTAAATAAATTAGTTTGTCGCGAGAATGTCGCCGCGAGTCTCGTGGGAACCTGCCGGGGTTCCTGCAGGCACCCTAAGGTTTCTTATAAGAATTCTGCTGAAAGTATCGACTTACATCGACCTGTATCGCACCGACGGCTTCTCCGGATAATGCCTCGCAAAGGCTCGTAATTGGCTCAATAAAGCGCCCTCGCGACCTTAACTTCCGAATCGAATTACGCGCGTTACGAAAATTCCCCTCGATGCTCGGTGCGCCTTAATCTTCTCTTTAGCGTTCCTCCACGGAGCCGAAATCTCTCCGAATAATTGAGCAATAACGTCGGATCGCGGTCGAGAGAGGCCTAATATTCGATCGTAATTCCCATTCCCTGGAAAGGCGGCAATATTTGTGTTTACGGACGTACTTGTAGCGACATCATTGTCCGGAGAGTCAAGGTAGACGGGATGAAATCAGGGGACAGAATATAAAGACACCCGTCGAGCCCTGTAGGCACTCATCGCATCTGCCTTCGATTTATATCCAATGGCGATTGATGACTGCCCCGGGGACCTTTGGGATCAAAAAGTTTGGATTTTTCGAGTGGGCACGTCGCGCCTAAACAGGGGCGCGAGGGCCGAGGGTGAGAGCCGCCATTTTAGGTGTAATGGGTCTCCCAGTTCCCCATTTCCACCCGAAAAATACCACACTCCTCAGGGCACACCTTGTAACAGATCGAGGGGAAGGAATACTCCGCAAATGCTGACGCAGTTCTTTATTCAACGTGTACACTTAACCTCACTTTCTTACAAGCTCTTATTAATCGGCCTCCTGCACGGCGCTGCTCATTTGGCGGTGCTCGTCGAGACGTGACGCGTATGTTCCCTCCTTCCATCGACGTGTGACACTCGAGGGCAGCTCGTGTGAGTGATGCTTCGAGGTGTACTCGGGGCTCGTTAATAATGCGAGGCGATGCGAGGAGGAGCGCGCCGTCCGTGTATGCGATGTGCTCCGCGCGCTGGTCCGGCGCATACTGATGCAATCGGGGCGCGTGTGGCGTATATATGGCGCGCTCGACGCGAGTGTGGCGTATATGTGTCACGCTTTATGCGCGTGTGGTGTATACGTGTCACGCTCGACGTGAGGGCACAAAGCCGCGTACGCGACTGGGTAAGGGCGAGTGCGTCCCGTCGCGTTCTGTATGCCAACAAGCTAAATGCGTTTCACAGACGACCGCCTCTCTTGAATGTCGCTCCTACCGGTTGCCTATCCTAGCGAGCGGTGTTATATATACGCATAATATGTTACCTATCCCGTCCTCAGAAAAAAAAAAAAAAAATGCCACGAACCAAAGAAACACATTCTTAATTCAAAGAATAACGACTTCACTGAAATAAGTTGTCACAGTTCCGAAGAAACGTCGCATTCCATTTATTTCAGCAAAATAATGATATTCTTTGAATTAAAAAAATATTTTTTTGGTATGTGGTATTTTTTTTTCTCAGCGTATCAAGACTGATATTTAAAAAATGGCATTTTTAATGGCGTACTTTCGGTACTAGGGTCGCATTTAGTGTCGTGAGGTGTCCAGGCGCAAACCACCTGTCGGGGACGCAATTTGCGATCGAAGAAAGGGCCCAATTACGTAATAAATAGTGCACGGGGACCACACACCCTCGGATTGCGTTTCGCTACGTCTCGGGCTTCTCGGGGGAGTGAATTAATGGAACCACCCCATGGCCCATACCCCATGCGAGACCCGCCGCACAGATGTGCCCCTCCACCATGGGGCATTTCTTTTATTTTATTGCCAAGGGTTAATAGAATAGTTTGGGCGCAAACGGACTCTCCACCGTAAAAGGAATGCTCCGTTTATTTGCGCCCTAATCACTGTCGATAATGCAATGTCGGATCCACGAGACTCTCGAACACCCGGCCAGGGTGGATATTGGGCGTGGGGAAAAAATACCTACTTATGGATCCAATCCATGGGATATCTCATTTAACATGTCTACGAAAACTTGAGATTCTAATGAGTCTATTCGATGTAGGTTCGAGGGGTCACACAAAGCCGGAATGTCCGCACGTTGCGAGGTATGTGCGTTATGAAAATTATCCGCATATCTGGGGATGAGTCTTGTATGCGCTTTGTTAGGGTGGAATTCCATAATGCATTCCTCGGGGGTGTAATTACACATTGTATCGCGCAATTCGGGGGTGGATTGAATTTCCTATGTCGGATCTTTACTGGTAACTTGGGTTTGGCTTATATAAACTTGGTTTAAATTCTCGGTTTAATTAATTCATCTATTCCGTGGTAGTGACTCCTCGGGTTTACGGATTAGGGGGTGGAAATAGTGCCGTGTAAAATGCGAACATATGCAAAACCGTAGATATCGGGGAGTCTTAACCACCTCCGGCGTCGATATACACCCCTGGCTAGTTTATTTATGAGGCGCCCTCCCCGAACCCCCTTCGCCTTGTAACCGTGTTAATAGTTTTCGTTTAGTCCTACACGAGAGGGAACACGTGCGCTTTTATCATGATTTATGGTTTTTCGCGCCCTCGAATTCAATGCCCGTTGTTTTGCATTTAACGGGGGCGGCCGGGGAACATTTGAATGTCCAAGATCGAGCTCTTGGTTTTTCGCAAGGTCCCCCTTCGCGGTAATTGGACGCGCGAGTTTCGTTTTTTCAAGATGGCCGACAGATGACGGGATCGAAATTAAAGAGACCATTAGAGTAATAGATCGGGATATTAATCGGGGGACGAGGTCCCATTGCGACTTTCGATAAATAAAAAAACCTTCACAGGTAGAGCCCAGGTGACAGGAAATCTCGCTCACCCCTTTCGACCCTCCAAGTCCCATTGTTTAAAAATCGAATAAAAAAAGGAACGAATCGTTTCAGGAATTTCGCGAGGTGACGAGTTTATTTCTTTTTTTTCTTTCGTCGATTTTCCACCGGGCAGAGGTTTTTCCACCTCGATGAATTTTCCAAGCATGTCGGAGACGAGTCACTCGAACGATTAACCCTTTTATGTCGGCGACAACGAGGAGCATGGAGGTCCATGGTGTCTCTAGTGTGACAATTTCACGGAACTTCCGAAATCTCGCCCCATGTACTCGTTCGACCCCTTCCGACTGACTGTCTCTCCGTCGCATCTGCGGGGAGAAAAGCGTAAAATTTAAATAAATGTTGCCGAACATCCCCATGCCGGCTACGGTGTATTAGGTGACATGCTAATCACACGACCCTTGCCGAGCTGAGAAATAAATGGCCGCCGCCCTTAAAAGCCGCGTCACCGAGGAAGATGTAATTCCACCGTAGAAAAAAAATATACCCTCTTGTTTAGCTTGCTCTAATTAAAATAATGTATACGTGATTAGAGTTTTTTTTTTATACGTCGTAAGGGTCGTGCTTTACTTTTGGGATTTTTTGGCCTGGATTCCAAGATGGAGTAAGAGCAAAATCAAGCCCCGTGGACGATAGTAGCTGAGAAATAAATGGCCGC